TGTCTGTCTTGACCACGAACGGGGTTCCCAGCAGATAGTGCCTCCAGAGGCCCAAGCAGTGGACGACAGCCAATAATTCTTTCTCATGGGCGGCATAGCGCCGCTCTGCATCCTTCAGCTTCCGACTCTCGTACGCTGCAGGGTGCCCTTCTTGTAGCAGGACTCCGCCGAGTGCATAGTCAGAAGCATCTGTTTGTACCTCGAACGGCTTGGCCAAATCAGGAAGGGCCAAGACGGGACTACTAGACATAGCCGCTTTTAATGCGTTGAAGGCCTCTGCTCTCCTTGGTCCCCAATCCCAAGGTGTGACCTTTTTGAGGAGTTCTGTCAATGGCACTGCGATAAGTGAGTAGTTCTTCACAAACCGCCGGTAGAAGTTGCATAGGCCAAGGAACGCCCTCAAGGCGTGGACATCCTTAGGTGTCGGCCAATCTGTGATGGCCTGGATTTTCTGTTGGTCCATCTTGATGCGTCCTTCCTCGATGACATGTCCGAGGAAATCAATTTGCTTCTGAGCAAAGGAGCACTTGGATAGCTTTGCATATAGTTCATGTTCTCGCAACCGTGCTAGGACCTTCCGCAGGTGCACCAGGTGTTCTTCCAATGTCTGGCTATATACCACAATGTCATCTAAGTAGACCACCACAAATTCGTCGATGTACTCTCGGAAGACTTGGTTCATGAGAGTGCAAAACGTAGCAGGGGCGTTGGTCAAGCCGAATGGCATGACCAGGAAGTCGTACGACCCATATCTTGTCACACAAGTCGTCTTGTGTTCATCACCCTCTGCAATCCGAACTTGCCAATAACCTGTCTTCAGATCTATCTTGGTGAACACCGTAGCACCACCCAGTCTATCAAACAAGTCCGCCATTAGGGGAATAGGGTACTTGTTCTTCACGGTGATTTTGTTTAGAGCTCGATAATCCATACAGAGTCGCAGGCTGCCATCATGTTTCTTTTGGAATAGAACAGGGGACCCATATGGGGACTTGGAGGGTACAATGATCCCTGTATCTAGCATTTCCATCAATTGTCTCCGAAGCTCGGTAAGTTCGGATTGTGACATTCTGTAAGGCGCCCGGGCAGGTGGCTTCGCGCCCGGCACCAACTCAATTTCATGGTCCACAGTGCGCCTAGGCGGGAGCCGCTTTGGCATGTCTTGTGGCATGACATCTTCAAACTCCAGTAGTAACTCCTTCACGGGTTCAGGAATGCGACTCGAGGAGCGTTCTATATCTTCAATGAAGAGGGTTGCCAGGAACGTAGGTTCATTCCTTTTGACCCCCTTCTTCAACTGCAAGGCCGAGATGTTCTCAACGGCCATCTTCATGGGCAGGCACGGGATAATGCAGGGCTTGGCCCTATTGGTACCCATCATCAGTAGCATGTCTGCAAATGGTACAGGCATGGTGTTGGTTTGCCTTAGGAATTCCAGCCCAACAATCAACTCGAAGTCATCTATGATCACCACTCGCAGGTTGAATTTTCCTTCGTAAGGCCCAAGCTTCACCGGTACTTCATTAGCTATTCCACCCACTGGCTGGGGAGGTGAGTTAATAGCCTTGACGCTACCTTTACCTTTCCCTACAACTAGTCCAAGGCGCTCCACCTGAGTCGAGGCTAAGTAGTTGTGGGTAGCACCCGTGTCTATCATAGCCCGAATGGGCTTGCCATTTACCTTCATCTCGACGAACATTAAGGTCCTCTCTTGTTTAAGAGGAGTCTCTTCATTCGCCTTCTTTTTCCCTTTCCTGGTGACGGGACATGAGTCCTTCTTCTTACGAATACCAGCACTGGTCTCCGCTAGTGCCTCAGAAATGGAACCCACAATTGCATTGAAGGCACCTACTGGTTCAGTCTTGTCAGCATCGTCTGAGTCGTCATCAGTCCCATCATCAATAGCCCGATGGGCATTCATCTGTGCATGTGGGCACTCATTGTTCCAATGTGGACCGCCGCAATGACGGCATCCTGAAGGAGGCTTTCTCACCCGATCATTGTTGTTTGACGCAGCACTGTTGCTGCCGGAGGAAGGAGCTCTAGATTTGTTTGAGTTCTGATCTCCCCCATTTTTGCTAGGACCACCACTGCTGGGCTGGCCCTCTTTGAACCCTATTCGGGCAGGCGGCTGAGGCCTGTCCCTTCGAGCTTCCATTTGATAGTCCCCAAGACATTCAGCTGCTTGGATTGCCTTGGGAAGGGAATCTACCCTTTGTCTCTGTAGCTCCACGCGGGCATAAGGTTTCAATCCTTCCATGAAGGTGAAGAGTTTGTCCTTATCCCCCATGTCGCGTATGCTGAGCATGAGTGCGGAGAATTCTCGCACGTAGTCCCGCACTGATTTTGTCTGGCGGAGCTCCCGTAGTTTTCTCCTTGCATTATATTCAACATTCTTGGGGAAGAACTGCAGGCGTATAGCTGCCTTCAGTTCGGCCCATGTCTCGAGAGCATCTTCACCGGCCTTGGGGCTTCATACTTCACACGCCACCAGAGTTTAGCATCACCCTGAAGATACATGGCAGCAGTTGCTACCTTCTTAGCTTCCTCCAGATCCCCAACAGCATCGAAATACTGTTCGACGTCAAAGATGAAGTTTTCCACTTCCTTGGCATTCCTAGCTCCACTGTATGGCTTTGGCTCAGGAATTTTCAGCTTCTTTGTCGCGGAAGCGGAGTTCACTGCACCTCCGATTTGGTTTCCACCTCCTCGGAGTAGGCCCTGTAAAGCAGAGTTGACAACATTGAGTTGGTCTGTCAATTTGTCAATGGTTTGTTGCATGGCAGTCACCTTTTCTGCCTCTTGTGCCCTGTGGGCTAAATCCTCGGTGTGCTCCTGTTGGAGCCCCTCGAATTTCTCAAAGATTTCGGCTGCCTCTGTGGCTGCCGTCTGCCGGTCTCCCTCGGAGTCGCGACTGATGTTTTCAACGTCAACTTCGACCTGAAGCACCCTGCGGTCCAGGTCGTCCAACCTTTGCAGTAGGCTGGTTCTTAGTTCAGGTACCGTATCCATAATAGGCCGCAATACCTCAACCGTCCCTTCGAGGGCCGCAATGCGGTCCCCATGGAACAGAAATGAGAATTCAGAATGAAAGAAAGCTTGATTGCATTAATGAAAGCTATTACAGAAAAGCAGCGCGGTGTCGAGGGGGAGAGACACCAGTACAGAGAATTGCTTGCTTGCTAGAAAGTTTTGATTGCTTGATATCCAAGTTACAAGACTAGACTTGATTAAGCTAGAGAAACATAATGGAAGTACATGAAATAAAACTACTCTATATTTACAATGAAAATGACTTAGTTTTCTATAAGGCAGCAGCAGGTCCGTTGTCAGCAGTAGTGTCGTTGGCATCACGGTCTGTGCGCGCGGCGCTGTTGGCTTCTGCCTGCGGCTTGGTGCTCGCGAGGGATATTGGTGGGGCGACAGAGGCACCTGCGCGCTTGTCACTTGGCGCGGCCAAGACCACGGGACCGTCCGTGGCGCTAGGCATTGGGAGGTTCGCTAGGACGCCACGGGGCGCGCCCAAGGGGTCATCGGGCATGGCTGGAAAGCCGCCCATGACAGTATATATGCATGTTGTATATGTGCGCACGTACGGGCACCACCGTGTGTATGTTTTTTTTTTTTATTAATCTGAGGTAGTAAACCAATGTAGTGTATTTATATATATAGCTCTTCCGCTAACATGCATTAACATGGTAACTGTGATAAGTAAATCTATGCACAAATTGGCCAAAAGCAGAGGGCAAATTATAAACATAAACATAAACAAACCCAGTATGTCCCCACCAGGTGGGGCCTGGGGAGGGTAGTCTGTACGCAAACCTTACCCCTACCTAACAGGTAGAGAGGCTGTTTCCAATAGACCCTCGGCTCAGGAAGGGTAATGAGAACAAGTGGATAGCAAGAAAGGAAGAAAGAGGGAAGAGAAAAGAAAAAGGGAGAGATAAAGGATAAGTAGTACCAAATACTAGCAACAAGGAATACAATACCTGAGGCGAATAAAACCACATAACGTAATAAAAATCTAAGAATATGAAGGGACATGCGTGCTACTACGACTATCGGTGAGCAACTAAAAACTACCCACTAACCTTCTATCTTAATCCTCGACCTCCACACTCTCCTATCAAGGGTCATGTCCTTAGTAAGCTGAAGCAGCGCCATGTCTTGTCTAATCACCTCTCCCCAGTACTTCTTAGGCCTACCTCGATCTCTTCTCAAACTCGCCATGGCCAACCTCTCACACCTCCTAACAGGTGCATCGATGCTTCTTCTCTTAACATGTCCGTACCATCTCAGCCTCGACTCCCGCATCTTGTCCTCCACGGAGGCTAGCTACTCCCACTCTGTCTCGGATAACTTCATTCTTAATCTTATCTTTCATGGTACTCCCACACATCCATCTCAAGATCCTCATCTCTGCTACTTACATCTTCTGCACGTGGGAGTTCTTGACTGGCCAACACTCAGCCCCATACAACATAGCCGGTCGAACCACCACTCTATAAAACTTGCCCTTAAGTATTGGCGGCACGTTCTTATCACATAAAACACCGGAAGGGAGCCTCCACTTCATCCATCCCGCTCCGATGCGATGTGCACATCTTCGTCAATCTCCCTGTTACCTTGGATAATAGACCCGAGATACTTAAAACTCGCTCTCTTGGGATAACTTGAGCATCAAGCTTTACCTCTACGAATCTAGTGAAGGCGAATAGAGGGGAAATTAGATCCAGAAATATGTGTTAAGGTCGAAAGCAGATAGCAGTAGTTTGAGAACAAAACCAGATTATAGGAAAAAGTTCGAAACGAATCTAGTGAAGGCGAATAGAGCAGCATTTGACAAATAAGGAACTTAACGAAGATAAAGAAATTGAAAATACCAGGCACAAGTGTTCTATCTGATTTTTGTCGACTGCCTGCGGATCCTCTGGGCTAGTATTTAACAAAACATCAAGAACATCAGTGCTACCATTATTCGGCGATTTCCTCCTTTGCTATAATAGTTCATCAATCAATCCCTCAAAATGCTTTCCTATGCATCGCCTCATCCCTTGAGGATCAATCCATTTCAACACGGGGAAATAATCAGCCAAATTGGGCTTACCAGCTTCTTCCATGATTTTCCACATAGCATCCTTAAATTCTTTGCCTGAATTTGCATAAGGGTCCACTACATCCTTGGAAAAAATATCACTCGAAAGTAAATTCATAGAGGTCTCAAAAGCAGCTTGGCCTATATTCACTGCCTTCCCTGTTTGGCTACACTGACGGCAATAAGCAATAAAATCCTGGATCTTTTGGGACCTGAAATTAGAAGTGACAACTCAACTAGTTTGTTAGTAACCCGCCAAAGCTGTCCAGGTTTAAACACAAGTAAGTTTATGACCGTCTATTGACTTGACCCTTCAAATATCGGGTCAAATGTAATCAAGCAAACTTATTTTGAAAACATTTTCTTTTTGAAAAAAGCAAAATAAAAAAAAGATGGGAAGTTGGGTCATATTGGTTTAAACTTATTTTGACTCGAGCAAATTAACTTTGGACAGGTTAGTTCATGACGTTTTATTGATTTGACCGTCCAATTTTAACTGAACCAATTAAGCCAATTTGCCATTTGTACCTAAGATGCTGATATTCATCAAGCCTGTTGCCTGAGAAGATATTAGAATTCAAGATTTTCCGCAGGGATCTCCAACGAGTAGTAACAGGTAGAAATACGACAGAGAACTGATAGTGATTATGGGAATGGAGTGCATCTGGGATTGTTCTGCTGGAGAAGGCCAAATCTTGGTTTTTAAGGACTTGTTTAGCCACGGCTGATGAAGATATTACCACCGTCCTTATATGGCCCATCGTGAGGCTGATTATTGGACCATACTTTTCTGCAAGCCTTGCAAGTGACTGGTGGGATTGATCACCAAGAATGTTATGCAAATTTCCAATCAATGGTAGGGAAATTGGTCCTGGTGGAAGTTTTTTGTTACATATGTTTGCTTGTTGCTAGCCAACAAATGCCTTGAACAAAAGTCCAAGCAAGTAGTAATCCACCTACAATTTCTAGATAATCCATAGGAATGTAATATTCTATCCAGAGTACGTGCCAGTACTTAAATACTGCATCATATTCTAAATATAGAAGGCGTCAACATTGTGTATTTGTCTTTTTTCTAACTATGACAGCCACAAAATTGTGGAGAAAGATATCAAGCAGTTCACATCTTATGGATACGGAATAGCTATGCCAGCAAGGGGGAGTGCTTGCGCCATGTGATACACGACTACTATTTTTCACATGGTTCCAAATACTACAACTTTTGCTTTCTTGTTTTTATTTTTATTTTTACAAACTAGTTTTTGGACATGTTTGATAAATTAATTTTACGGAATTCTTGATACTTAACATTGCATTCCAAGGACCCTTACCTTGTAATAGGTGTGTATACAGTCAAAATCGGGCTTGCCTAATTTTGTACGACAAATCGAAATCGGGACGGAAGATGAAGGCCCGGCCCCGGTTATATCGGAACATGGTACGGAGATGGATTGGTAAGCTCGTGGATCGATGGCCGATCAAGATCGAGGCCGACCGTGATCGAGACCGAAGCGAGAAAGAAACCGAGCAAGATCGAAGGAGGCCTGCCACGTCGAATAGCAGAAAGCCGAGATATTCGTGATCGAGAGAGATCGTGGCGGAAATCTCAGCACGTATCGAGTCAGGATCGGTTATTTAGCCTATCATGGGATTTACTTCTGTAATTAGAAGTATACCATAAATAGGATTCCTCTACTATATAAAGAGGGTCTTAACCATTTTGTAAACAATATACATTCACGCATAACAAGGCAATATATTATATTTCCTCTTGCAAGCTCTATTGTTCAAGTTCATACTTTTCAATAAGCATACTCAGTTGTTCAAGGGCAGTCTAGCTCGAGGGCCATAATTGTTCATCACATTGGTTTGCTTTATTTTACTGTTAATTCCTAGCATTAATTCTTATATTTATCAGTTTGTGCCAAGTGAAATCGCATATCTTTAAAACCACTTATAAGTTTAATTGTTATCTGATTTTAAGGGCAAACAGTATGGCGCCCACCGTGGGGCTAAGGATAATAGTGATTGCCTGGTACAATTTTCGTGACACACGTAATTTTACGCTTGTTCTTTGAAGTGTCTTTGATTCCAGGATCAACATGTCAAACTCAAGTAGCACCCCCACACACAGACGATGGCCTTGGTCTCTATGGCGAGAACGATAACATAGCCGCCCCTGGAAATGGAGTGCCTCCAGTCGACCCTGATGGAGCTCCGACCCTAGATCCAATCGACGTAAGCTCCCATATTGCCATTAATGGGAATTTCGGCGTCGATTCTGAAAATAGCATCCACGGAGATGCTCGAACAGCCGATCAGAACGCACATGGCGATGAAGAAGGCGGGGTTATCCTTCGAATGATATTCAAAATGTTGTAGACTCAACAAGCTGCAATAGTACTGTTGGCCCAAGTTCAGATGAAGTTTTGAAGATTGACAAAATAAACTCAGTCATGAACCAGGTCCATCATGTGAGACACAGTGTTGATATGCTTACACATGTGACATACGCGTGAAGAAGATAAGTCTCAAGGATCAGCAACAATATCTTCTGAATTGATCGAAAAGATTGCATATAGGATAAGGAGTTGAAGTCTCCTTATGAAAAGAGAATTATATCCGGATCAAGGATATGGATTAGGAGTTAGAGTTGTTCTTGGACTCGAATTGTCAAAGGATCCACAATTCGAGTTCTTATCAAACTCTGATTACTAACTCTATAAATATAACGATTGTTCTCTTTTACAGGTGATTGCACATAAGCAGAAGTTAAGCATATTTGAGAGCAAAAAGATCAAGTCTGATTTGCAAGCAACATATGCGAGATACAAGTGTGCACGTCTGAAGCTACATGAACTAAGATAGAAGAACCAGTTTCATCATTGTGTTTATTCTAAGTCTAGTTCAATTGTAGTAGGTTTTCATATTTTACCTTTCAGCTTTCTTAGAAGCAATTGTATTAGGTACTCTGAGTATTCAAGTTAGAGTTAACTTGAAAGTGTCGCAACAGTTGAAGCTGTGTGCTACACTGGGATTAGAGTTAATCCTTAGGTTTACAAAGAGTTTTGTAAATGCAGTTTTTGGCTCAGTGATTTTAGTGGAGTTTGGGAAAATCCTACTGAGTAGTAGGTCGTGGTTTTTTCACCTTTTGAGCCAAGTGTTTTCCACGTAAAAATCTCTGTGCACTTTACTTTCAGCATTTATTATTCCGCAAACTGCTGTAGTTAGAACACTTAGAAGAACCAGGTTCTTCTAACGCGAAAATTAGGTACCACACAAATCACCCCCCCCCCCCTCTTGTGTGGTATTGACGTTTATAACATCAAGTACAACTCCAAAATCAGAATCGTGCGCCAAGCAGGATCGAGCTCGAGCCATCACAAGAAATTGCCCATAGAGCCAAATCGGTGCCAAAGAGATCGAATAGAGGAGAATCGAAGACCAATCCTGCTATCCTAAAAATGCTCGAGGAACTGACGAAGCCAATCGAGACAGGAGAAAAGAAGATCGAGGAGAACGATAAGAAAGTGGAAACTTATAATTTCAGGGTCGACCAAATCCCGGGGGCACCGCCGGTGTTGGAAGGACTTGATTCCAAAAAGTTTGTCCAAAAACCTTTCCCCCCGAGTGCGGCTCCGAAGCTAATCCCTAAGAAATTCCGTATGCCCGAGGTCCCGAAATACAATGGGACAACAGATCCAAATGAGCACGTCACCTCATACACGCGCGTCATTAAGGGAAATGACTTGGAAGATGACGAGATTGAGTCTGTATTGCTGAAGAAGTTCGGGGAAAATCTATCGAAGGGAGCTATGATATGGTACCATAACTTGCCACCTAACTCTATTGATTCATTTGCTATGCTTGCAGATTCTTTTGTAAAGGCCCACACCGGAGCCATTAAGGTCGCTACCATAAAGTAGGACCTCTTCAACGTAAGACAAAAAGACAACGAAATGCTCAAGGAATTTGTATCTCGATTCTAAATGGAGCGAATGGATTTGCCACAGGTCACCGACGATTGGGCTGTTCAAGCTTTTACTCAAGGTCTCAACGCTCGGAGTTCCGTAGCTTCACAGTAGTTGAAGAAAAATTTGATCGAATATCCAGTTGTTACTTGGGCCGATGTACATAATTGTCACGCCCCAAGCTCGGGGAGTGCGACCGACGCTCAACCGAGTGAACACGGCCGAGCAAGCTTGTTAAACACTTTCTACCCAACTCACTTACGATCAAGAGAAGACATAATTTCATTAATTAGACAATAGGAGATCATGCAGGTTCATTACTAAGCCATTTCATTAGCTACATCATTGTTAAGTTTCAAAATACATACACATAATCCATTGACCTTCCCAACACCCACATACAACCCACATAACGTCTACGGAGCCTCTAAGTAGATACAAAAGAGAGTGCTACAAAAGTATCGGCAATAAGTCCCCGACTATACCTCAAAACATAATAAGAAGGTGAACAAGAGATATAAAAGATATAGGACCCTGAAATGATGTGGGGCTCCCAGCTGCGATCAACAATGTTTGCTATGGAACCACCTACATCCATTTAAAGATGTAGCACCCCCAGCAAAAGGGACGTTAGTACTGTCGAATAGTACTAGTATGTAAAGCTAAGCACCAATCTTAATAGAATGAACAATGAAACAAAGAGGAAACAGTTATGATGTACAATAAAAGCTTCAAACAAATATGAAAAACATCAAGTAAGGATCACATAGTTCTCGGTTCAATTTCCATCTTATTAGGTTGATAAGCTTAGTGCCATGTGCCACAATTCGCAATACCACCGTGTTCTTACACGGAGTCCGATCTCGACCTGATCGGCTAGGTCATCTCATTTGAGACATCAATCATATCCACAATTTCAATCAATCATTTCCAGCATAGTTACCACCATGTGTGCGGCATGGTGTTCGATCACGGCCCGATCGGCTAGGCCATCTCACTTGAGACATCATCCTTTTAATCGTTCATCTCAATTCACATTTTCTTCCCATCTTTCAACACATGGCACAAGTGGCCTCATTTATTAACTCGTTCTTGGCTCTTGGCCGTATCTTACAATCCAAGTTGCCCTTTTTATACATTCAAATAACATTATGGTCAACATCAATAAAGCCTATCATATAAGGCATTGCATACATAAGGGAAAAGCTTGGAAAATCCTAATCATACGGAGGCTTTTCATACAAATTAGCATAGCAATCTTTATTCGATTCTTGACATGAATTCTTGACCTTTCTCAATACATATTCCACATTTCAAACACATTCTCAAATAACATGATGACATGATAAACATTTAGAACAATTATCGAACATGAATCTTTCAGCACAACACATTATGGCAGTCAATTCTAGTATGATCAATTTAGGGACTTACACCAATTACCCGAACACCAGGGGTTTGATTCTAAGAAGAAGGGGGTTTAGCCATACATACCTCAATTGAGCTCTTATAACTTTAAGATATTTCCGGTACTAGCAACTTCAATCTATTTTTGCAATATAGCAGAATTGAATCCAAAATTAGGAGAATGATGTATAATTCTAGCTCACTAAAGCATTCTATCAAACACTATGTGTTCATTATGTTTTAAGACTCTTTTTGTGTAAGATTCCATCATTCCACAACCCATCTTTTATTATTTTTAGCCCATACTCTTCCTACATTCTTTCACCACCCATGCATGCAAAACAAACAACCATCAACCCCATGAACCATCTTGTTAATTACCC